GTAACTCCCCCCGTCATACCAGGGCCACCCTGGTCACTTCTGCGCCTCTGATTCGTCTGCAGAGGGGGGGGGGAGGTTGAGTTTTTGGTTTTGAAAAAAAATTTTTCTGCAAGCACTTGTTGGAAGAAAAAAATTGCATGCAGCACAATTGTAATAGAAAGCTTATGAGAAAAAAAAGGGAAAAAAAATATCCTGCCCACCAGATTGCTAGAAAAAAAATTCTTGATGACCAGAAATCACCCCCCCCCCTTCAAGAGTTAAATGGTCGGCCCCTTATGGACAGTTAACTTTGTACATGGGGTAAGAAAGCCCTAACATTTTTCCTTAAATATGGACACTTTCTATGACGCATGCCCTCTTAGTGTCTGTGTAAACAGGATTTGACTGTATTCAGTTTAGGCCAAACAAGTGCTCTCCTTAAGGGGTCTCAACCGCGGAAATATTGAGCGCTTTTGAGTTCAACCAAAAGTTTGCTTTTGTAGCTATTTACTTTCCTATACAACCAGGCTCAAAACAGTATACTGTGCGGACTCGTGTTAAATACACTGAGGACTCCCAGCCTTCATTTCTCCGCCTTCAGTTGGTCGATAAATTCAAGTTAAATCACGGCTTTCCGTTTCATAACTCTCGCGATTTTAATTGAGTGATGGATAGACAGTGAAAGCGGAATTTCGTAAGGTTAAGCTTCCATGCAACAACATTTGACGATCAAAGGAATTGTGACAATTTTTTTGCATACATGAGAAAATCAGAAGGATTTGTATAAAAAAAAATGGTCAACCTAGCCTGGCATCCACTAAAAGGCTACAGTCGTAGGTGATCTATCGCTACAGTATGTTTTCGATTCATTGATCTCTAAAACGAGAAATACGCATCAACACTGCGTCAATAAAGATGAATGTTAAATTACCATGTCGACAAGCCATAAAGCAGTGTTTTGATCTTTGTCAAAATTTTGAGTTCAGTATGGCTAGCATTGTTTATAAGTTAGCTCATGCTCACCTTAAATGATTTAATCCAAAGTGAAATCAAACGATAAAGAACGAAACGAAACGTGGCACAGAAGCCTTGATCTTACCAAAGCTGCAAAAGTTGACCAAGTTCCAGACCCGCTTCTTGAAGTTCCAAACGTTACCGTCAGTAATTCTCGATGGATCTCAAGAAAATTTTCTGTGCAGGGAGAAATTCTTTATCTACTATACATGCAGGAAATGTCGAACATGAAAAGCTATAGAACGGGGCCGGAGTGGCCTGACGTGACGAAGCAAATGAGGAAGAAATGAGGAAGTAGCGTTCCTAACTCCAGCGACGCATGCAACCGCTTATCTCGTACCCAGGTCTCCCACACCTACAGAAAGCAAAAATATGAAACGGCAAACTAAGTAAACAAAAGAATAAATCGAAAAAATATAAATATTTCAACAAATTATCCAATTTGTTTAAATATATATATTTTTGTTTTATTTTTTTGTTTACTTCTTCATCGCCTTGCCGTAAGGATCAGTTTGCCGTTTCATACTTTTCTACAAGTTAAACTACTGTACTTATCCAGGTCTTTCGTTGTTGCTGTGGACTTGCTGACATTTTATATATTTTGGAATCTACAGACAGCACATCACAGAAGTCACAGAAGTATTTATAAACCCGGAGCGAGCAACTTCCATGCACTTGTGTCACGACGTTTTCACCGGCCAGTTTGGTTTTAGAACAATTTTGGGGCAAATTTAGAAAAGATCTCTTAGTTGTCCTTTTTGATATGTTATACTTCGAGTGCCCTTATAGACGGAGAGGAGATTCCATTTTCGCGGGAAAAGGTGGTCTAAAATGTGTCTAAAATGAAGATGTCACGACATAGGAATAGCATGGGAGTTGCCTGCTCCGGGTCATGGGCTCCGATCCTGTGTTTACTTAAAAGGCATAATAGCTGTGATTGGTCCGTTAAAAAACCCACGCTTATATGTGAATATTCTGTTTGGTTTGACCAGCCGGAATGAAATCCTGTTTCGGTTAGATTTTTTTAAAAAAATGACCTTTCCATTAGCCATTAGGATTTCGTCACGCGTTCCTTTTCCACGAACGTTCGTTGTGGAGGAATATATATGTGACAAGCCATGGATCTCTTACGAAGAGAAATGTCCTGCACATTACCATTGCAAAATTTCTTGCAATGGTGGGGCGCTATCTTCGCAAAAACAAAAGGAAAAAAAAGAAGAAAAAGAAAGAAAGAAAGAAAGAGAAAATCCCTGTAAAAATCAAACGAACAGGAGCTATTAGAATGGAGCAGGAAATGATATGAGCGCGCGCCAGTAAGTTTACAAGCGTGCTGATATTGCACGATATGCTGCTATGGCATGATAAAAAGAAGTTACAGAGGACACGAGGTATGGCTACTTCCATGTCGTCAGCGAGCGCGGCAAAACTAGTCTGCGTTAAGATGAGGACATAGCCGGGGGGGGGGGTATACTTAACAGAGTTTTATACGGAAGAGAGGGCCCGCCCCGAGGTCCAACCCCCCATCCTTTTATCTACCAGACAGTTTTGAAAGAAAAGGTAACCCTTTCGTATACCTTCTATTGACAAATGGTACCCCTTTCACATTCTAAGTTTAGAACTTTGCATCCCTTTTGACTGCTGTGAATGCAATTTGCATAAACAAAAGAGGATAAAGCTCTTTTGGATAAAGACCTTTATCCACTCTTGGTATACAATATGAATAAATCACAAGGCCATAACGTATTTCTCGACTTTTTCACGGCCATAAAATGCATCTGTTAGCTCTTTTGGGTCTTTCTACCAACCAAAATGACAGATTTCACTCCCCTTTTATAAACTTCAACAAGTGAACTCCCTATCCTTTCATATACCTGAGGCCTGAAAAAAGTACCCCTTTAGGGCGGGGCGTTCCCGTATAGGCCATTACAGGGAGTACCCTCCCCACGGGGGGACATAGCTGGGTCATTAGGGAGGAAACAAGCACAGAGATAGGGAAAAAGGGAGGGAGGTCCGCAATTTTTGTTATCGTCCTTTTGTCTGCAACGAACTGTGACCTAAAAGAATCGTTTTTCTTTGTTTTCGGTTGGAGTAAGTTCAGAAGTGTTTTCTAAACAATAAATTATAAGGGACTCAAGAAAGGCAACCTTCGACAGCTGAGTCAAAATTGTTCTATTGCTGCTAAAAATTAGGAAAGACAAAGCTAAAAAAGTCACAATAACACCTGCAAATAGCAGTACGATGGTTTCTATAGAAACACATTAACAAACGACATAATTTCACCTTTGTTACAAAGTAAAAGTAAGGCGCTAGTTTAGACGGCATACGGAAGAAAACGCACAGTGTGACTGGCTTGTAGCCTGATTCTAAGACGTAAGGGAGTGAAGAGCCGCGAGCGACTTAGATCCTGTGAGAATCAGGCCAATTGGCTTGTAATCATAGAATGAATAATCAAAGCAATAAATGCTGGTCTATATTTTTAACATACCTCGCAGACTTTCCCAGTGAGTACGTTTCTTAGCCCTTTAGATATCAATATGTTCAAATTGAGTTCCGTCACCCAAAAACTAAATTTTTCATTAACATGCTTTTTAGCAAATCAGAAGTTTCGCTCATCGATATGAAAAAGCCCTTCGAAGTCATGAATATTATTTTCTAGATTAAATAAATATCATAAACTAAGGCGATTTTAAAAGATATACGCATGCAGAAATAACACCGGAAAATAACAGTCGTGCATAGTACCACACGACATCAAGAGCCATATATGGCT